TATTGACATGTCATGGGGTTGTTAACCAATGCCATAAAACAATATATATACTAACTGTTAATGAGCAGCCAGTTTGTTCTGTAAACCTTCATCTAAAGTTCAATAAAAGAAAAAAATTGTAACAAAAATAAAAGAAGATTTATAGAGTTGGAAATCCAACGGGGCAATTCTACTCTGTCCTATAGGGTTGCTATGAGTTGGAATTTATTTGTTAACAGCAACAGGTTTGGTTTGGTTTTTAACGTGCAGTGGAAGAAACCATGAGGGGTCTCTTCTTTCAAAAATAGAAAAATATACCGTAGCTTAAGGGAGGAAAAAATGGTTCTCATTTTTCAGTTCGTCTCCAAATACAACACAGAAGATAAAAAATAGCATGGTCATGATCATAAAGAAAAATTCAGAAATACAATCTTGAGTTCATGCAATAATTTAAATGATTGGACATATTCAGGAAATCTGAATTCTAGACCTAGTTCTGTCATTAGCAAACCTTACGACCTTTAGAAAACCATTTTATAGCACCGAGCCTCAGGTTTCTCACCTAAAGGTTCCTTTTCACCTCAAATTTTAAGATTTTATGAAAAACAAAATGGCAAAATAGAAAGAACATGGGCTTTGGAGCCAACTCTACCATGTCAAGATGTAAGATTGTGTCCAATTTACTTAACTTATTTATGTAAGTCCCTCACTTTTAAAGTGGGCATATGAACACCTACCTCAAGGGATTTTTCTAAGAATTAATAAGTGTCTAATACAGAGTTAGTCCTTCCTAACTGTTGTTAGTACAGACTTTCAAGTAATGCTTTTTTCTTAATATAACTATTAAAGTGGTAAAACACAACTTTTCATTATAATATCCCAGCCCACTAACATGTCCTTTCTTTCATTTTATTTTAACATGTAATAGTAATAATAGCTAACTCTTAGACTGAACACTTGCTATGTGTCAGACATTTTTCTAAAAGGTTTGTATATTAAACCATTCAATGTTCAAACAACCCTTAAAGATCAGTTACTACTGTGCTATCCTCGTTTTTTAGATGAGAAACTGTGGGCACAGAGAAAATACACAACTGACACAAGTTTACACAGCTAATAAGTGGCAGAGTCAGGATTTTAACTCAGGCATTCTGACTCCACAGCCTGCAACACACTAATATAGTAATTTGTGCTCTGTAAGTACACATGTCATATTCATTAGTAATACTTCAAAATTAGTAGTACTAGGGCTTGGTACATCTGAGGAAAAAGGAAGGAAGACAACTTGAAAAGAGGGAAAACTATTAGATTTGAAAATATGGTATTGTCCCTGGAAATCCATACCTATCTATTTCTGCAGAATTCATTCCAGAATTTGACACACTCTCTGACACTGAACCCTGACTATCCTTCTTGGTAGGTTCTAATCCATTCTTTATGTCATCAAAATTTTCATATTTGAGAGCCTGGACCAGCTGCAATAGGTACATCAACAAGTCCTGGAAAACAAACAAAAAATAAGCTAACATTAGAAAAATAAATGCAAGATGATTATAGACATAATTTATTCCTAAATATCAATCTAACATTTAACCACTGCTTATCAGTTGTGGTATCTTTGGCAGGTTACTAGGTTACTGAACCTCTCAGTGCCTTGCAGTGTCCTCATCTGTAAAATGGGCATAATAATACACATTTTAGAAAGGATTTAATCAGTTACAGTAGAAAGTCATGGAACAGTGCCTGGTACAGAGTAAGTGGCTAGTAACTGACTTGTTTACAGTAGTAATATCCAAAAAGCA